GCAGGGTATGGTGGTGTCCTCAGAACTCCTCAGACCAGGGAGGTTTGCTGGAGCAAGCCAAGCTTGCCTTCCACACCTTAACCATGGCTCCGTCCTCGGCTCCAGGCTTCCACACTCCAAAACTCTCCTGTGCTCTGCCTCTCAGAGTGGCAGAGCTGTGTCCAGTAGAGGCTTTGGACATGGACACACCTCAGACTTAGAAATTGCATCTACTTCTTTTTGGCCGAGAGACCTTGGGCATGTTTCCTAATCTGGCTGAGTCTCACTTGCGATGAGGGAACGGGATCATAACAGAACTTCATCCTTCTGTCTGGCTGAGGTATCAGTGAGATTATGCTGACAAAGCCGGTGCCTAGCGCAAATGGTAACTCTTATCAGTGTTGTGTTATTATCTTAATCACTTCACTATTATTCTGGAGTTCCCCTCCCTGTGTCCAGGGAGGAACCTGGCTTTCTTCACCCTGCCCTATTTTGATACCTTTCTTTCTTTCTTTCTTTGCTTTTCTTTCTTTCTCCCTTCTGCCTTCCTTCCTTTCTTCCTCTTTCTTTCTTTCTCCCTTCCTTCTTTCTTTCCTTCCTTCCCTACTTCCTTCCTGTCTCTGTCCTTCTCTTCTTTCTTTCATTCATTCATGGTACTGGGGCATGAACTCAGGGCCTTCACCTTGAGCCACTCCACCAGCCCTATTTTTGTGAAGGGTTTTTTGGGATAGGGTCTTGCGAACTATTTGCCTGGGCTGGCTTCAAACTAAGATCCTCCTGATCTCTGTCTCCTGAGTAGTTAGGATTATAGGGATGAGCCACTGGCACCTAGTTCTCTCTTCCCTTCCCCTTCCCTTTTTCTTTTCTTTCTTGTGGTACTGGAGTTTGAATTCTGGGCCTCACATTTGCTAGGCAGACGCTCTACCACTTGAGCCATGCCCCCAGCCCTTTTTTGCTTTTGTAATTTTTCAGATAGGGTCTCAAGTTTTTACCTGGGCTGGCTTCAAATCATGATCCCCCTATCTAGTCTTCTTTTGTAGCTAGGATTGCAGATGCGTGCCACCATGTCTGGTTTATTGGTTGAGATGGGAACTTGGTAACATTTCGCCCAGGCTAGTCTCAAACCGAGAGCCTGCCAATCTGCTTCCTGTGTAGATGGGATTGCAGGTGTGAATCACTGATCCTGGTCCTTGGACACAGTCTTGTAGACCTTAGCCTTTCATGGTATCATTATCAAGAAGAAACCCACTAATTCATATTTGGAGTTAGTGTTACCTTGATGTTCAAAAATACCACATTGAGAGAGTGACTCTTAACCCAAAGGAGGGTCCCAGTAGTGTCAGGATTCTCTGTATACTGAAAGAGATACTGGAGGTGTGGGCTTGCCCTGGTCCTTTCAGTTAGATCTTCCAGTTAGGATCCAACTCACCATCCTCCTGCCTCAACCTCCTGAATGCTGGAATTATAAGATAAAACTTTCCAGGAATTTTTGTTTTATTTTGTTTTTGGTGGAACTGGGGCTTGAACTCAGGGCCTCACTCTTGCTAGGCAGGTGCTTTACCACTTGAGTCATCCGCCAGCCCCAGTTATATCTTTATGGAGCTGTCTGCTCTGCTTGCCTGTGGACAGATTTGGTGTTTTCGTGTCTTAGTTGTTGGACAGCACGCTGCTGAGGACAGCCATTTCTCTGGCTTATTCTCATTGCAGCTCCCAGGCACCTTCCATGTCCCCACCCTATGAGTGCCTGGGTCTCCCTTTCCCATGCATAAGGAGAGGTGAGTGCCTCTCCTGGCCCAGGGAGGCAGCCCTCCTATGAGAGCCTGCCGCACCCCAGCCAAGGTCCTGGGTGCAGCCTTTCCCACCAAGGAGAAAATAGCAAGAAAAACAGATGAGAACTGATACCCTGTGTGGCAGGGTCGGCTGGAACCCAGTCCTGGAGGAGCCTCAGAAAAGCTTTAACCTCGGGGCTCCAGGGCAGTGAGGAAGGGAAAGAGGGATGGAGGGGGGAGGTAGGCACTTTTCCTGCTACAAGTGGCCACCTCTCTCTCCCATCTGTCAGTGTCCATCTCCCCTCCATCTATAGATCAGCACTGCCCAGATGTGGGTCTTGGGCTAGACCCCTGATTCTCAGGCTGGATGGCAGCAACACTAGAGGTCACCTGGTCCACCCCCATCTCGGGTGGTACTGTCCTAGAACAGGGCCCAGCTGTGCCCCTTTTAAAGCTCTTAGGGAAGGGATATTCCAAATTGACCTGTCATCGGTCACCCGGGCCCTGAAAGGGAACTGGGCTGGTTGTCAGGAGGCCTGGGCCAGTGAATTTCCTAATCTGAGCTGTGGGGACTCCATTATCAGCTGCAGTCCCTCAGTGTGATTGTGGGATCACCTGAGACGTGACTGTGGAAGGGCTTTGTAAACCACGGATGGGATCTAATGAAAGATACTATGGGCAGTGGTGGGGACAGAGCCATTGGCCCCACTTTTGGTCCTGTAGAGGTTCACCTTGGGGACCTGGAACCACCTCCTCAGGGATGGATATCCCACAGAATGATCTACGTTCCCTTGATCTTTTCCTTAGACTTGTGCCCAGAGCTGTTTCCCATCCCCCTGTATCTGGGGGGACATGAGAGGGACAGTCTGAGGTCATCAGGGACCAGACCTGAGCCAGATGTTTCAAATGTTTTAGGCTGTGTTTGCTGAGGACCTTGAAACACTGGGGTTGTTCCAGGTGCCTGTTTGTCTAGACTTTGGAGGGGTATGAGCTCAGGCTATGGAATATGGATAGGGTGTTACAGAGCATTTGCACATATTATCTCATTCCATCCTCGCCCTCTGAAGTAGGGCTCATTTGACAGAGGAAGAATTGAGTTAGCACACGGCTGACCTGGGGCCCACATTCTTCCGACTTGCAGAGGATGCACCAGGCTGGCCATTGTGTTGAGGATAGGAAGGGAGGGAAAGCGAACAGGCATAAGGGAACCAGTCAGCAATAAGGACCCTTGGTAGTTTAGGGACACAGGATCCTAAGATCACAGAGTAGGGGAGGAGGTGGTACTCTGAATGTGTGGCAAATCATGTAGGGTCCTCAGTTTTTCCATTGAAATCATGAAGAGATTGGATATGTGGTCCTAAATGTCCCTTCCAGTGCTTGTCTTCTGGAAGGGGCAGGGAAAGGTGTCTGGTTTTCTCCTACCCTTCAAATGGTCCCCCTTTTCATCCCCATAGCCTGCAAGGAGCAGGTGGGCTTTGATGAATGGTAAGGGGTCTAGAGGGATTACTGCCCAGGTGAGAGAGACCTTAAGCATCATTGCTGAGAAGGAGAAAGCTGCAGATTCTACAGGCACAGGACAGAAGAAAATAGCTGGAGGCCCCCGTGCACACCCCAGGCCTCAGGAGCTGTTTACTGCTCCCTCCCAGAAGCTGCATTGGAAAATAACAACTGGGCAAGAGGCGCCCGCTCAGCCAGCTCCTCAGCACAGTGCGGGGCGGGCCCCAGCCCTGGCACTTGCTCCAAGGCCAGTGTGTGGGCAGAGGACACTATGGCCGGCTGTTGACTGGATTGGCTTAAAGGGAAGCAGGGAACCTCCCCCCGCCACTGAGATATTAAAACCCCTGATCCTCAGCAAGCCTTGTCTCACCCAAGTGTTTTCATCTGTGAAAAAGGTTGGAAAACTCTGTCCCTTGACATCATCCTGTTTGTTTCCTTTAAGAAACACATCATGGTGTGAAGTTGTCTTGTTTATTTCCTTACTTTTGTCTTATTGGTCTCTTCACCCAAAATGCACAGCGCATAGAGGCAGAGCCCTTTTATCTCGTTCCCAACCCAGAGAGCTATGCCCAGCACAGAATGCGCTCAAGGAATCTTTGCTGAGTAAGGAACGTGTGAGCGACATGCGTGAGCGAGCAAGGGAGAGCTCCTAGCATGTTAGCAGATGCTCCGCGAACATGTTTCCTTTCTGAGAATCATTCTCAATTAGCGCAGGGTTGCAGAGCCGGGTCTTGAGGCCAGCCCCTTAGGACAGGAGTACTGTACAGTGACTGGAAGGAGAATGGGAGGTCAGGATGGAGAGAGGAGATGGGGTGCTGGCAGGAAACAAGGGACAGAACCAAAAGAAGGGGAGGTAGGAATGATTCTGTGACAGCGTTGTCACAGCCTTAACTGAAGGGCTGTTTTGGGGTGAAGGGCTGTTTTGGGGTGTAGGCCCGTTAGGAAACACAGATCAATGCTGCCACCTTCTGCGTGGTCTTGGGCAGATTTCCTGGCCACTTCCAACCTGGTTTCTCACCTGTAAACTGGGCAGTCCTCATCCTGACAGTGCTGTCCCACCCCACAGGGGCTGTCATGAAGCAATGACAAGAAAACCAGTGGGGATGTGCTGAGCACGTGGGAGCAGTTTGTACTTTGGTCACTTTCTCCCTCCCTCCATTCCTTCCTTCTCTTTTTTTCTACGGTATTAGGGATTAAACTCAGGTGTCCATCTTGCTAGGCAAGCATTCTACTACCCCCAGTCCTTTTGCTTTTTAATTTTGTTTTTCATGTAGGATGTCATGCTTTTACTGAGATCCTTCTACCTCCAGCTCCTGAGTAGCTGGGATTATGGATGGACATGTGTGACTATGCCCAGCCCCTGACCATTTTTTCTTTCTTTTTTTTTTTTTTTGGCAGTACTGGGGTTTGAACTCAAGGCCTTATGCTTGCTAGGCAGGTGCTCTACCGCTTGAGCCATGCCCCCAACCCTGGGCATTTTCTTAAAACTCCTAAAGGAGGTCCTTTGTTATTTTCTGTTAATATTTTTATCATTAATCAAGATTGCCTTCTTCTGTAGGAGAAATGAGTGCTTTCCAAGCACTGCCCTAAATTTTAGGTCCTGAAGATTTCGCCTTTGGGTAAAAGGAACACACCCTCCCACAGACTCTCTGGGCCCCAGTCGGGGAGGCAGCCTCATTTTGAGGCCTGTGAGCCTCAGAGGGCCTTCTTGGCAGTGAGAGGCAACTCTTTACACCTTGTCCTCCTCTCCCGCAGGTACAAGACAGTGGTGACCCCTCGGAGGGCAGCTGTAGCCATCGCTGGCTGCTGGATTCTCTCCCTCATAGTGGGCCTGACACCTATGTTTGGCTGGAATAATCTGAGTGAGGTGGAGCGGGCCTGGGTGGCCAATGGCAGTGTCGGGGAGCCCGTGATCAAGTGCGAGTTTGAGAAGGTCATCAGCATGGAGTACATGGTCTACTTCAACTTCTTCGTCTGGGTGCTGCCACCCCTGCTCCTCATGGTCCTCATCTACCTGGAGGTCTTCTACCTGATCCGCAAGCAACTCAACAAGAAGGTGTCAGCCTCCTCCGGTGACCCACAGAAGTATTACGGGAAGGAGCTGAAGATTGCCAAGTCACTAGCCCTCATCCTCTTCCTCTTTGCCCTCAGCTGGCTGCCACTGCACATCTTGAACTGCATCACCCTCTTCTGCCCCACCTGCCAGAAGCCCAGCATCCTCATCTACATTGCCATCTTCCTCACGCACGGCAACTCAGCCATGAACCCCATCGTCTATGCCTTTCGTATCCACAAGTTCCGAGTCACCTTCCTGAAGATCTGGAATGACCATTTCCGTTGTCGGCCGGAACCCCCCATCGACGATGATCTCCCTGAAGAGAAGGCTGATGACTAGACTCTGCCTTCTGCTCCCATCAGCCCTTCTCCAGCGGTTGTCAGCCTGGCCCTCATGTCCCCACTGTCCCACTGGTCTTCCTGAGCCTTCCCCAGTTGGGCTGTGGGTGTGGGCACTGGGGAGGTTCTAAAGAGATGCCCATGGAGCAGGGGCCCCTCTATAAGGAGCTAACTTCCTTGTACCTTGGAGACCTGGAAGAGCTCTGAGTGGGCAGGCAATGGGGAAGGCACCAGGTGCTCTGAGGTGAAGGAAAAGTATCTTGAGCCGCACCTTATTGTTGACCTGCCTGGCCAGCTCATGAGCAGTCTAGTGCTTCAGGGTGGGCTGTGGAGGAGCCATCAAGGCAGGAGAGGATGCACGGGCTCTTGAAGTAAGACAGTGGAATCTTCTTTTTAGATGTTGGTGGCATAGCCCAGGGACCAAGCTTAAGGAGAGGAGACAGAGTGTATCCAGGCCTTTCTTTATGCTGTTCTGTAAGAGCAAGTGGCCAGGAACCGCAAAGGGACAGGAAACAAGCCTCAGTTCCCACCTCAAAGAATTCTGAGTCCCTGACCATGCAGGCACTATGACGCCTGCTCACCTTGCCCTGGACATCCCAGAATTATGCTTGGGAAAGGCAGGGACTAGACTCTGGGTCCAGAGATCGTTTTTCATATTGGCTTTATTTTCTCCTAGCTCTTGGACTCTCAGTGGGGACTCCAAGCCCTGGGGAATGAGTGTAGTGTAGTAAGTGCTGGCCTCAAACAGACACCAGGGGGCAGCACCCGCACTGGGCTTCTAAGCAGCCTGGGTGTAACTTTCTGTCACCTGCACCACCAAGCTCCACCAGCTCCCAGTGACAGGCCTGGACTCTCCCAAGTGACACCATTTTTGCTGCTGCTGGGTCTGAATCAGAAGACAGCCTCAGAACTGCCAACCCTTGGGAGTATCTCCACTGCCTGTTAGGTCAAGGATTGACTGCAGGCATTCCTAGGGTGGGTATGGTAGGTCAGAGGAGACCACCCTCCAGAGAGTGTGGGGAGGGTCTCACCGGCATTTAAATACCTTAAATACCCTTGGTATTAAACTCAGTTTTCAGGGGCTTCAGGAGCTCTGCTGCAGACAGCATCGAGGCCTTTAGGGGTCTGGGTTGGAACCACCCTGCCCCCTGTTGAGCCTGGAGTCTCAGTGTGGAAGGCAGGCTGGGGAGGGAGGTGCCAAATATGAATATCAACTCCAGACCTTGATTGTAGGCTTTTCCCTCTGTGTGAGGTGGGATAGCCCTGCTTTCTAACAGGGGTCCATGTGACTAATAAAAGACTGTGAACCCTCATGTCGAGCACACCATTGGCATCCACCCCCACCACTGAGGCAATAAGTCAGCCTCACCAGAGAAGACACAATGGTGGGAGGTGAGGGGGGTTGGGAGAAGCTGGGAGTGGGGATGTGGAGGCGGTCAGAGCAAGGAGGGTTCCAGGGAAGGTGTGTCTGTTGCTATAGTTACCCACTTGGGGTGGCAAACTCTGAATCAGAAAACAAGATCCAGACCATGTCCATGTCCAGACAGTGCCCCATGACCTCTTGAGACTCCTCCCACTGGCACCTTCCTCACGGTGGCACGTTCAAACGCCCTTCACAATGAGACACACTCTCCCACAGAGACCCCACCATGTAACACCACACACCTTTATTTGAGTGCTTCTCACTCAGCACACAACTCTGTAGGGCTCTCCAATCCCTGCATCTTTCAGGGCCCCTTGGACCCAGGAGGCCTGGCCTGGGGCCTGCCAAGCCCACTCCTGGGTTCTGAACTCCAGCCTCTGGTGGAAGGAGGCCAGCAGGTACCAGAAGCAGTTCCATCAGCTGTTGCTATGGAGATGCAGGTCTCAGGCAACTGTGGAGCTAGATTTTGAGCTTGGGGCCCAAGGCCTCAGGCCTGCAGGACCTGGCAGAGAATACGCTCCTGAGCCCTGGAGTGTGGCCGAACTCAGCCACATGCCAGGCTACCCTCCCTCAGGCCCAATGCCCAAGGCTGAGCATTGCTTTCCACAGTCCTAGAAACTTCCTGGCTCGTTCAGAGCCTCAGAGCCATCAAAGGAAGGAAGACAGGGCAGGGGCTGTAGTCCCCTCTTCTGATGAGAAATCAGGTCCAAAGCAAATTCCCATAACCTTACTGGTACTACCCAACCCTGCAAAGTCACTGCAACTCTAGATACGCACGATAATTGCTGGTGGCTGCAGATTTGAACCTTCCCTTCCTACCCCCACCCTCCTGCTCCCAACCTCCTTTCTGTTCTCATGTAGCACCCAGAGGAAACAGGAGTAGCTCCAGCCACTTACTTATTTCCTCATCCCAGCTTCTGGTTGTTGCTCTTCAGTGTGTGGCTGAGGCTGGAAGAGAGCCTGCAGGTTAGAGCTTGGAGGAAGAGGGGAGGGAACACAAGGTTCAAGGTCACCCACCATCCCAACGGGCTGTCTTCTCACTTGGACAATCATCCACTTAGGCTGACCTTGATCCTCACTACCCCTCCTTTCCTGCTTTAATTTTTGATTCTCAACTACATCGAGTTCAGCTCCAAAGGTATGGAGGGGGACTTCTGTCCTCCCACCACAGCAGGGTACCTGGAGAGTGACCCTCCTCAAACCCTCACCTTTGACCTCCAGCCGGCAGTCCACAGATGCCTCCCCTAGCACATTGATGGCTTTGCAGGTGTAGACCCCGGAATCAAAGGGGCTAGGTTTCCGGATTTCCAGGGTGCAGATCCCTTGCTCAGACAGGGCACGGTACTTGGGATCACCCTGGATGTCCATCTTGTTTTTCATCCAGATGATCTTGGGCTGGAGGCACAGTCAGAGGAGGCACAGTCAGAGGAGGCATAGTCAGGGGAGGATGTAGTCCTGGCCTAGGCTTTCCAGGGCCATCTTCAGGCCTATGTGCGATGCTGGGCTGATTCATCCCCACCTGTCCAGAGGCTCCTCACCTTGGGTGATGCTCGGACACTGCAAAACAGCTGAGTGCTGTAGCCAGGGGTGGAGGTGTGGTCAGCCAGCGGCTGGGTAAACGAGGGGGCTTCTGAGAAGTCTCTCTCAATAAACCCTTTTGGTTTGGCAGCAATATCTGGGTCAGGAGAGAATTGATGTTACAGGAGTGGAGGGGACCTCAGAAGACTGACCTCTTCTAACAGCTTTGGAAGGAAAAAGGCCTCCCAAAGAGGCCAAGGAAAGCTGAGCAGATACAGGTTGGGGCAGTGAGCACAAAAAAAGAGTGCTCAGGAAAACCAAGGCAATGAGAGGAACGTTTCAGGTGGAACCTGGCAACTTGGACAAACATTTCTGTTTGTCTTTGAGGACCAAACTGGCTTTTCTTTTTTAAACAAAAATTTCTTCTTAAGGCTGTGCAATTGGTGTTAAAGAGTACAATTTTTCAGAGTCCACATAGACCATTGGACACACAGGTGACAGAGAGAAGGTCTAATTTAAGCATTTGATGTGAGAAGGTCAGGTGCCTGTTGGAGGCAGTTAGTCTTGCATCTTTCCTGCAGTCTACGTGATGTTCTCTTCTGCAAAGGGAAACTTGCGCTTTTACGCACTTGCCAGTCTACCTGTCACACACATGGTGCCCTTCAGGGTGGTGCCTGGGGACACTGCAAATGAGACCTAATGGTGGCAGTCACATACATCTTCATATTTTCAGAATAAGCACACAGCCTCCTGGGGACATCGTTCATTTGCATGGGTTTGCTCTGATGTGTTTGTCAAAATCAATCAGCCACACGCAATACCTTACCGTCTGTGTGTGTGTGTGTGTGTGTGTGTACATGTATACACACACATGCTTAGCTGTGGAGTGGGAGGTGAGGCAGCAAATGTTCCAGGGAGCAGGCACCCAGGAAAAGCCCAGAGAGAGAGGGACGTGGGGACATTGAGGAAGACATGGAGACAGTGTGGAGTCAGACTCAGTATGCCTGGTTTCCCACCTAGGCCCAAACCTACCTGCCTTCTGGATGTGGGCCAGCTCCTTGGTGGTGGTGGCTGAGTCACTGAGGCCACACAGGTTTTCTGAGAAGACTCGGAATGAGTATGAGTTGCCAATGATGAGGTCTGAGATGGTGCAGGTGGTGGGGTGGTAGCGCTCCAGCACTGTGAACCATTGCTGTGGGAACTCTGGCCCGGTCACTCCCTCGGCTCTCACCTTCCGTGCTCACCCTGTAGCCCCCTCCTCAGAGGAGCTCACTCTATGCTCCCAACCCCAGGAGGCTGAACCATTCGGCTTTGGGCCCAGGGGACTTGGAAGTGGGAGAAAGGGCTCCTGGGTCACTCAGGTGAGCTCTCTGAGAGGCTCAAAGCATGGCTGGCAGATGTGTGAACTCAGCATTACCTGGGCACTCCTTAAAAATGCAGGCACCCAGCCCTCAGTCCCGACCTGTTGCATCTGAAGAATCTGCATTTAGCAAGATTCCCAGGTGATCTGTATGCATATCAAGGTTCCAGAAACACAGCTCCAGACCTTGAAAGGCCCATAGGGTCCAGTGCAGCCCCTTTGCAGACTTCAGGAGGAAACTGAGGTGCAGAGAGGGAAGTCTTGCCAAGGCCGACTGCTTGGCAGTAGTTGGACTGGAAGTCAGTCCTGAGCCCCTTGGTGAGGGAGGCTTTCCTGGCTTCCATGGCCCCTTCCTCCCAGACCCCACTGTTTCCCAGCCGGCCTCACCCCTGTCTTTTTGTCCGCCTTCTGCACCGTGTAGCCCAGGAGCTCTGTGTTGCCTGTGTCCTGGGGCGGAGTCCACTCAAGAGCAGCATTGCAACCCCAGACGTCCAGTAGCCTGATGCTTCTGGGGGGCCCTGGCTTCTCTGCAGGACCAGAGCAGGAAGGGACGTGAACATCTGCCACACAGTTCCCACACCAAATATTTGGCCCCTGCCATGCTTCCTTAGCTTGTCCCCACCCGTTATCAGCCTAGGGTCTGTGGTGAGCCAGCCCTTTCTCTCCTGGCCCCGTACCAATAACCAGGATGTCAACGGTAGCCTTGACCTCCAGGCCTTCCAGCCGCAGGGTGAGCTCATAGCAGCCTGAGTCAGAGCGCTGGGCTGAGCGGATGAAGAGGATGGAGTCCTGGTCCCCGGTGCGCACATTTACCCGCTTGCTGTCCAGGGCGTGGCCATTGTGGGTCCAGGAGGCTTGAGGCTTAGGCTTCCCCTGAGAGAGGGGCCCTTGGGTGAGTGTAGCAGGCAGGTGGCGGCACTCCACATTCTCCCAACTCCAGGGGCATCTGGAGGTGTGCCCATTGGAATCTGCCACGTTGGACCTTCTCAGGAGACGCAGTCAGGCTGGAGGCACAGGAGCTGCCCATAGCTATGTCTTCCAGGTATCTGGCCTGTCCTGGGGCCACCTGCCTGTCCACAGGCTACAGCATCACAACGAGTCACGTATGCACCATTAAGGGAGGGTGAGGCCATCTAGATGGGGCCTTGCAGACCCTCGTGGGGAACCTGGCATTTCTGGGGGTCCCTGGACACACCTCAGACTGGCATGGGCTTGTTTTCCACTCAGACTCTTACCTGGGTGGAAGAATACCCACCTGGAAAGGGATTTGCAGGTTGACTGACTCTCCCACATGGCGGATGTAGGTCTGACGAAGGTGGCGGGGGACACGGATCTTGGGAGCCTCTGCATGAAAGCAAGAGTCTAAGCTTAGCACAGCAGTGGGATAGCTGGGTGGGGTCCTCTGAGACAGAGGTAGGAGACAGCAGGTGTGGGCTGCAGGCCAGGCAGGGGGGCTTCTGGGTATGTTCCATCAGGTTACTTCCTCCGGATAAGGGCAAAGCTGTCACTGCTGAGATTGAGGGCCCAAAATCTCTTAAGGCCCTCGGGAAGCTGTGAGCCAAGAGGTTCCAGGGCCTCCATGGTGTGAACTGGTAAGCATCCTGGGCACTCCCTTGGCACATCAACCCTGCCAGACTGGGATTTGCCCTGCAGCCCAGGCATTCTTAAACTCCAGATGGGTCTGGCCGGCTCTCTAGCTCCCCCTGGAGGGAGGCAGGTGCTGCACCTGTTGTCTTGTCCTGGGTTGGGAAGCAAGCAATGTGACTTCCTACTAATCCAGCAAAGGCACCCCACAGCCCTGGACTTTCAGGGAAGCCCTTGAAGCCTGCTGGCTCATGCCTCCACCTCTGGGCCCTGCCTAAGTGAGATCAGAGCAGGTATGGCCCTTTCTTCCTCAGTCAGTTTACCAGGTCTTTCCATCTCATGGTTGGCAAGTTCTTCCTGAACTCCCATGTCAGCACCTTGCTGGGGTAGGGAGCCACCCTCCTGACCATCACCTATCAGATGCCACTGGACATTCCAAGGGGACCTGCAGCAGCTGCTATCTCTGTCCCTGGGGGGTGATGCTGGGGCCAGGACTGAGCTTCCTGGGCAGCAAACAGGTGCCAGCAGTTGGTCAGAGGCACGCGGGGTGGCAGAGGAGGAGGCAGTGGGAAAGAACACTGTGTCTCCAAAGATTAGCTGAGCAGGCGCTTGGCGGGGGAGCATCAGGCATGGACTGCTCCAGGGGCAGCTGCAGGGGGTCAGGAATGCCTGGAAGCTCCAGGTGGCCAAGGAGGGACAGCTGAGCAGCTGAAGATCCTGGACAAGGTCCCCACCCTACCCTACCCGCAAGGAGCCTGGCTGTCCCCCACTTGTTTGTGGTCTCCTCCCCCTTTTCTCTCCAGGAAATCCCCTCCTCTCCTGCCAGAAGAATTTTAATGGAGAAGTGGTTGCTGAGTCCGGCTGGCTCCTTCAATACTGGGTCTTGAAGGCCTCTCGGAGTCTGAGCACCTTAGGGATCCAGGGGAAGGTCTGGGACTCTCCCAACCAGGTGGGCTTCCTGGCACCTCCAGATTAGAGTCAATACTGCCGCACTTCAGCTCCACGTGGGGCCGAGGCTCACCCAGAGTCAAAGGCTAGCAATGTCCTGGGGTTTTAAAAACTTCCAGAGCAGATGTCTTGCAGGCAGGTGGGTGCGAACAGTCCTGTGTGGGCATCAGAATCTGGGACCACCACTGAGAGGCTGGGTGACCTCGGGGGACTCCCTAGGCCCCTTGGGATCTGCTTATCACAGTCATCACACGTAGTTCTGTTTTCCCTGTGTCTCTCAGGCCTCAGTGCTGAGTGTTTACTTGAATCTAAAGTTGGCCCCTCTGGTAGCTGTGACACCTTCTCCAGAACTGTGGGGTTCTGACCTCGGCCTCCCACCATTCCACCCCCTAGTGGAGGTACAAGAAGAAAGATTGGAGAAGGCCTAGGCCACCTGCTTGCCTGTGTCTCTCTTCACCCTGGGGCCCTTCACTGTCCCCAGAGACCTGAGATCAGACCAAATGACTCACTGCCATTAACAGAATGAAACCTGATCATCTCTGGACTGGGGGAGGGGGGGGGAGGGAAGCGAGGGTAGGACTGGGACTAATGCACCCTGCAAATAGAAATATTAGCAACAGGGTCAGCAGCTGGTGCCCAGGTCCCCGGTGAGGCCCTACCCTTTGGGGATGGAGAAGCCTTCATGGGCCCTTTGCAGATCCTGCTCTTCTTTCCACTAAGGCCATGGTAGAACAGGGGGCAAATGGGCCTTCTCTTCATTCCAGAACCTTTAGGAGAATCTGGAACCCAGGCCTCAGTAAATGGGCAGAAACTGAGCTTCCATGACTGTCGGAGGGATTAAGATAGGAGGAAAAGCATGTGGTCTTTTAGCATTGGGAGCCTGAGCCAGGTGAGCAGGGAAGCAGACCTGTCCTTTCTAGGCAGCAGGAGGGCCCTCAACCAGTGCTCCAGAGCTGGACACCCAGGGAAATAGAGGCCCCTTGGTTCTGAGGAACCTGAAGTCTTTTGAAGGCAAAATGGTGTAGCTTGTGGCTTGTGCATGTGCGTGGGATGGGGAAATGACTGCCCAGATCCCATGGCCCACGGCCTCAATGTCCCAGTTACGGGGGGCTGGGGAGCGGGAGCTGAGTATGGACTTTACCAACGATCTCTTGGATGTGAACAGGCTGGTCCAGCACAGCCGGTGGGCCAGCGCCGGCAGAGCCCACTGCAGCCACACGCAGGAAGAACTTGTCTCCTAGAGCCAGGTTCCGCACGGTCTGCTGGGTCACCATCACGGGCCGGGGGTTCACAGGCACCCACTCCGAGGCTGAGGAGAATACAGAGTGAGTGAAGCTTTGGTGAAGTCCCTTCTCAAAGAGACTTCCCTTTTTGGTGGTGACCTGAGGAAGTTGACTTCCTTCTACAGGCCTTATTTCTCCCTTGCTTCCCTCCCTCACTTCTTATCATCAAGTGATATCAAAGACACCTGATGTTAGAGCTCTGGAATAGTGGCTAGAGATGGGATTGCTGAAGTCCAGAAAGGGTTGGACACATTTAAGAAGTCACACAGCAAGATAAGGTAAGGTAAGGGCAGAAGCAAAGATTAGATTGAACTTGGCTATCACGGAGGGAGAGAGCAGCAGAAGGAATTGGGTCAGACCTCTCTCCCATTCTGTATTTCTTACTGTGTCTTATTTATGACTCTCCCTCTGTAACCCCTCTGCTTTCCATCTGCTGCATTGTCCTGCCCAAGCAGGGTCCTCGGGCTGAGTGCCTTCCTCCCTTCTCATCAGAGCAGTGCCCAGTGCCCCCACATTTCTGATACTCAGAGGCTCCCTGGAACTGGAGGATAAGAGGGCTCCTGAGGTCATCCCCCTACTTTCAGAGGACCCCCGTGGAGAAAGAGGTGGGGGGGCTCCCTCTGCACCCCTCCCTCTGCATTTCCCAGCTGACCTGTGGGCAGGGGCTGAGCCCCTCCCTACCCCACTGCAGCTGGGTGTGGGCAGGGCTGAGCCTGACACTCACCTCCCTCTGGGCAGAGCTCCAGCACATAGCCCTGGAGCCCAAACCTCCCCAGCTTCTCCGGGGGCTCCCAGCTCACAGTCACGGAGTTGTGGCTCACATCCTCCACGGTCAGCAACAGTGGGGCACTGGGGACATCTGTGGAGAAGCCAGGATGAGATGAAAGGCTCAAGGCCAGAGCCGTGCCCTGCACACCTGCCTCCCTCCTCCACCTGCCCTGCTTCTAGTCACCTTCATTTGGAGGTGCAGGCTTAGTGGCTGTGGGAGAAGCAGGGGCCGCAGGGGTGTTGGTGGCTAATGCCTGAGAGGTAGGCTCCTGTGATTCCAGAGACTTCTCTTCCCTGATAGGCTCTGATGCTGCTGTTTCTCCAGAAGGCTCTGTGGCAGGTGCTTTGGCAAGTTCAGGGGCTGTCTCCTGTGGACCAGAGTCAAGGATCTCAGAGTTGGTTTTTCCTGTCATTGCTGGGCTGGCTACGGGTCAAGCTAGAGTGTACAGGGGTCAGCTGTGGAGGGTTTGGGCCTCTAGGGGTGCCTGGGACACCTAGGATCTGGCTTATATAGTCAGGGCAGCCCCACCCCCAGAGAACCATTCCCAGCTGTGGGGTTAGGTCAGGCAGGGGGACAAGGGGTGGGGAGGTGCTCAGGCCAGGAATAGCTCTGGGGGAGGAACTGAAAGGCCCCTTGAGGAGTGCTCTACTCACCATCACCCGAACTGGACCTCACAGCCGGGGCGCTGGTGCCCAGATGGGGAAGGAAACAGATGGGTGAGCCGGACATGGCTGGGGCCTGTGCCAGGGACTGGGGCAATGGCGAGAGCTGTCACCTAAAGAAGTCGGGGTCAGCTCTGTGAGTCTGGCCTTCATGGGACCACTTAAGCTGGGGTCTCCTCAGATCGGGGCTTGGGGCCCAGACAGCCTCCACCAGCCTTCCTTGCATACACTCCCAGCTTTGCCTTTAGGGGTCCACTCTGCCCTGGTCCCCACAGTCCCTGGAGATTCATCTGTGCTGTGTGAGGTTGAGGGCCCTGGAGAGGGAGGGATTGAGAAGCCATGGTAGAGTTGAGTGCCTCGGCAGTGGGACCCCAGGAATGAGGCTGTCTTAGTTGTTTTTCTGCTGCAGTGACAAAACGCCACAAACTGGGTGAACTATAAACAACAGAGGTTTGTTTTCTGATGGCTCTGGAGACTGGGAAGTCCAAGAGCATGGCACCCACATAGTGTTCCATAGATGCTGCACAACAATGTGGCAGAAAGGAACAGAGGAAACTGGCTGAAATTTATTAGGGACCCACTCCTGAGATAACTAGCCCACTACCATGAAAACAGTATTAACCCACTTATGAGGGCATTGTCCCATGGCCTGCTCACCCCTGTAAAGGCCCCACATCTGAATACTGTTGTAATAGCAATTAAACTTGAGCATAAGATTTAAAGGGACATGTAAGCCACAGCAAGGACTAAGCCATCTGGTTCCTGCCTCTACTGTGGAGGCTGGTAAAGATCTAGCCTCCCTGGTCCTTGCTCTGGGCCTCATTTTCCCATCTATTACTGAGAACTTGCACCCCTGGGAGTGGGATGAAGTCACTGGCAGACTTGACATTCTGCTGGAGGGTACGCTCTGAAACACTCAGCCTCTTCCAAGCAGGACATGGCCACAGATTTTTCCCAGTGCAGGAAATGAGGCAGGTATGGCCAAATCCGTGGTCATTCAAGAAAATGTTAAGAGTGGTAACAATTGAAAATTCAGAGGACACCATGTGTCAGGGAGGTGTGGTGAGAGTGTGGATTGGAGTGGTGACTTTGAAAAAAGTGAAACAGAGGCTAGTGACACTGGTAATGGCCTTGCCTAGTCATTGGCCCCAACTGCTCACAGGTGACTGACAAGAGACAGGTGAGAATGTTCGTGGAGATGTCCCTTGGAACAGCCAAAATGGGGTGGGAGAAGGAAGAGCTGCCCCTCTGCAGTGGGATGGGTAAATAACTGTGGAGCATTTATGCAACATAAAGCAAAATATGGAATGGAGCAAACTTCAGCTGTGTACAATGTGCTGGTCTCACAGACCTACCTGATGGCAAGGAAAAGGAGCAAGGCTCACAGAATGCTGTCATACCATATGCATTACGTCCAAACCGGGCCACACCAACATGCGTCCATAGTGGTAAGCCCGTAAAGGAAAGCACGGCCAAGTTTAGCACAAAGGTCTACACAGTGATGGCCTCTAGGGACAGGGGTGCAAGTGATTGTGGAGCCTTCAAGGTGTCATAACAACTCTTTAAATTAAACCAATACATTTTTTATACTCTTTAGTATGTGGTGTAGCCCACAATTTAATAATAAACAAACATGTAATTTATTTAAGGCTGTCAACAGCATGCAAGCTCTACCCTTCTTGGAGTCACAGGAGTGTGGCTGTCTCCGAACCCTGGCTGTCCTTGTGGTGCATGATAGTGGAGGGACCAGGGAGCCTCTAGGTCCAGCCGGCCTGGGTGCCCTTGTTCTCTGCCAGTGTCCTGCTGGGCAGGGAGGAGGCCCTAGAGACCTGATCTTCATCTTTGTCCTCTGACTCTGCAGCTATAAGCGAATGTGACTAACCCTACAGGGTCCTGAGTCAGCTCTGAGAACCTGTCCCAAGCTGGGGGAGGGGAGCCCCAAGGGACAAGGTTGGCTGCCCAGGAGGGCTCACAGCCCTTGGATTCCAAAGCCCCTGTGTGGTGATACAGGCACTGGGCAGGGGTTAGAGGGCTGTTGACCCACTGGCCAGCAGTGAAATGCCAGGTACCCCAGAAAGCACTGGCCAAGTTCCTTGCCTTTAGCAGAGCTGTGACATTGGAATTCAATGTATCTGCCCAGCTCCAGTGGGTTCAGATTTCAGGGTGGCAGATAGGTATTTCCTTCCCTACACCTCAAACCAGAGTACAAACCATCTGGCCAACTCATGATTATCCCAAGTTACAGATAATCAAACATCAGAGAATCCACAAATAAATTCTCTTTAGTTTTGGCGTACATGTCTGGGTTGTTTTTGGATAAAGTCATGTCCAAAGCCGTCAAAGTCGCAGAAGGTTGGTGAGAGCATCACTACTCCATAAAGGCTGGAAAGCTGGCTGGCCTTCTGAGGCAATTCTGATCCTGTTCTGTCCATCCTCCCCCTCCTGCCTCAGGCCAGTTAGAGCAGGGATGCTTTGATCTCTGCTTGGGTTGAGAAACACGTGTGAGCGGGGAGTGAGACAAGGATAGAAGGCTGGGAACAAGGACAGCACTGGATAACTGGCAGGTTTTGCCCCAGCCATAAAAAATGGGCTGCCCGGAAGATACTGAACTGCAGATCGCTGGTAGTATTGAGAGGCTGGAAGGCCATCTCTCAAGGGCCCAGGCAGACTCCAGCCCTGGCAGCAAGGAGGGTGTGTGAGAGCTCTCCTTCCTGCTCTGAGAGTCTGGGGTTCAGTGCCTCTCACAGGGCCCTGTGGTCGACTCCACCACCTTCCAGAAGGTGCTGCTAGCCTTCAGGAAACAGAAGTGGTTTCTTTCAACAAGGAACTTAATTTGGAAGTCTGGTTGGCAATGGCTTTGGTATCTGGAAGGCCATCAGCCATGCTTGGGTGAAATTCAAGGCAGGTAAATCTGATGATGCTGCCCCTTTGTTGGGACTCTTTGGGACCCAATAGATGACATGATGGCCTCACCTCTGCAAGCTCAGGGCTCCCAAGCCTCAGAGAGAGGAATCTAGAAAAGATGGGTGAGCAGGCTGCATGCTACATGCCTTAATTCCACCTATTTGGGAAGGGGAGATATAGGAGTATCTCTGAACAAGGCCAGATGAGGGCAAAGTTAGTAGGAGACCCTATCTGAAAAACAAACTAAAAACAAAAGGGCTGGAGGCATGGCTCAGGTGGTAGAGTGAAGATTGAGACCTTGAGTTCAAGCCCCAGTACCACATACACACACACAAAAGATGGGGGAGGTGAGAACAGTGGTCCAGTGTGCCCCCAAAGATAGACTGAAGCAAGTGCAACCCGTTGTTAAGCTCTGGTACTTTTTATTGAGCAGCTGTGGAATTAGGAAAGGGAAGTGGGATGGGAGACGCGATTATGTTCCTAAGAGAAGATTTCAAGTTGGGCTTTGCAGGGGTATAATTAGTATAGCCACTTCATCTCTTTGTGATATGGCTTGCCAGATGGTGTCCTTTGATAAGGGGAACTGGGGATAGGGAGTTGAAGAAACCACCCTGTGCGGGGCTTGGAGTTTAAGCATTTCTATTCATCAACAGTTAGGTACTGATCCTGGGTCTTACACTGCTGGTCCTCATCCTTCAGTAACCACATAGCCCCGCCCTACCTCCCTGCCCACCAGGACTGAGCTCTAATCTTCAGTGCTGTGATCCTCTGAAAAGGTTCCAAGGGAGGGAAACTGAGACTCAGTGGGGGGCTTAGCAGGGCTCCTGGCCAGCTGGAGCTAGAGGATGTGGGGCATCCTTGACCCCCCATCCATGTGCTGTGGGCTAAGCAGCAGCGAGTGCATCCTTGATAGCATTGGTGAGTGGGAAGCGAAGATTCTGGCCACAAAAGGAGCCCCGGAAGTCATCCATGTCCAGGGCCCACACCATGGCACCTGCCAGCTGCCTGTTTTTCAGGTACTGCACCTGGTGGGGAGGACCAGAGAGGGCAGGGCTGGGTTTTCTGGAACAGAGGAGGGAACAGCAGGCACCTGAGACCAACACACCCAGCCCCAGGGCAGGAGACTGAAGCTGGCTGCTTGGAGCAGGGCCTCCTCTCCCTCTTTGTCTTGGATATGACCTTGGGGAAGCCTACCTTGTTTTTGACACTCTCCTGGTCGTCATACCCCACCCACTGGTTGCCCTTGGTGGCATAGGGGACCTGCTGTCCTAGGATTCTATGAACCGAGGCTCCACGTAGGAAGTCACAGATCTAAGAAGAAAACAAAGCATGGGTAAAGTAGAGGGATTTGGCAGGCCACCAGGAGGAGTCACTCCCCAAATCTTCCCTACCTTTAATCAGCCTGTAGCCCTCCTCTCACAAGCCTGTAGGCTTCATGCAAATTTATGAAAAGCAGATATAAATGCTGTGGAGTTCAGCTGTTATAAAGCCTGAGAACTTTAAGTGACCTAATTGCTACCTCCATCTTCTTTTTTTTTTTTTTTTTTGGTACTGGGGTTTGAACTCAAGGCTTTGTACTTGCTAAGCAGGCATTCTACAGCTTGAGCCACACCTCCAGCCCTGCTTCTTCCTTCTTCCATCTTAAACAGGGATATGAGAAATGGTGGGTTGACACTGAGGACTGGCTCAGGCCACAGAGAGCAGTAGAGGCTAGACTAAAACACAGACCTTGCCTCTTGGCCATTTCTTGTTCCTGGGCTGGAAGGGAAACCCCAGCAGAGTGGTCAGAGGAATATTCTGGGAACTTGGTGGCCTGCACCTGCTGGAGACTTTTTGCAGCAAAAGGTGTGCCTCCACCCCCTGCCTCAGGGATTCAGGGCCAACTGAACATATTTTTATTCCCAAAGGAGAAAAAGTGGGAGTGGGTGGGACTCCACTTCTCCGGGGGAATCTTAGCTTCTCCCCAACTCCATTACCTCATAGTAGGCGAGGGTCCCTTCCTCCTTGGTGAACCGGCCTGGTAATCCTGGCCCCAAGACTGGGGCCCCGACACCCGTCTCAGAAGATGCCAGAGTGTAGCTCTTCCCAAAGGTGGGGATGCCCATCACCAGCTTGCTGGCTGGAGCACCCAGCCTCAACATGTACCCCACGGCGTAATCCTGGGTGGAGAGGGAAGGCGGTAGCTGGGCTGGTGGTGCGTGGATGGGAAGATTGTACCATTAATACTGCTGCCTTGACAGGTGAGGTTAGAGTTACACTGTGCATCCGGAACTCCCTGTCCCTCTGGGAACTGATAATACCAGTTGAAAATGGATTTTTATGTTTCATTCTTGAAAAGCTCTTTTGAGGCATTTCTATGTGACAGATGCAGAAATCAGGTGACTGACTCAGGACATGCAGCAAGCAAATGACAGGTTGCATCTCTCAGCCCCTGGCCTCTCTCCATTCTGCCCACTGTTGCCTTTACTTGGTCCACCAGCAGGCCACATCCCAGAGCCATGGCCTAGGCAGATTTGGGGTCTTCCTTTTCCTCATTCGTGAAATAGGCCTCATCCCCTCTACCCAAGTCTTGCAGGATTGTACTGCAGAATACAGGGGTAGGGGCCCCCTCCTTCCAGGTACATACAACATTGCTGAATCTGTCGGGACTGGCGTCCTCCTGGCCGCGGAACAGGGGGCTGTGATGTCCTGTGGTCTGGCGCCAGGCTCCATGGAAATCATAGGTCATGATGCTGATGAAATCCAGGTATCTGGGAGGAGTAGGATAGAGGTGAGGAGGGAAATGACAAAAGCTCTTGGCCTCATGTCAGAGGCCCCAGCAGGATGTCTGCAGAGAAAGCAGGCAGCTGACATACAGGCCACAGACCCAAAGCCCAGTTGTTCCAGGGCCCACTGTCTTGGCTGCTGGCCCATCTTCCTTGAGCTATGGTGGGGTGTGGGCTCCAGGTTCCACCAGTGCCCTCAAGGCAGGCAAGAAGGACCTCTCTATGAGGCCCCCAGCACGTGATTGGGAGTTGGTCACCACCTTGCCTCAGCCCTCCACTCCTGCCATGCTGGTCTTGGTGAAAACAACTTAAAAGCATCATGGGGAGTCAGGCTAACAGGGAAGGAGCCCGACCAAAGGCTGGCCCAGCCACGACACTTGGGGGAGGGGGTGCTCCACAGCCGCATTGGTAATTGGGTAGCACAAATGTAGGCTTCAGTAATGGGGGCAGGGGGAGGACACACAAATGGTTGAGCCACCTTTTTTCCACTGTCTGTGTGATCAATTTAAGCACCGAGTCTAAGTGGAGATTCTAAAGTCATTCTGAGCATCACTGTTCCTTATTCCTGGGGTTCCCACTATCCTGCCTGTGCTCTTGGGAGAGACCCTGCATGGCTGTTGGCTGAAGGGGTAATGGGAACAGGGCTGCCCCTGAGCGTGGGAGCCCTTGAGGACTCCCCAGTAATCTAGAAATGAAAGGTATTATTGCTCACCAGAGCCTTGCACCCTGCTCAGCCTGTCGTGGAGAAAATATTCTGTAATGGCTAGTGGGTTTGTATAACTTTTTCTACTTCCTTTTCCAAAACACATTCATAGCAACTCTCTCAAATGGCTAAGGGCACCTTAAGTGAGAAAGGAGCCAGACATTGATAACTCACACCTGTCGTTGTAGCTACTTGGGAGGCTGAGATTGGGAAGGTTGAAGTTTGAGGCCAGCCCAGGAAGATACTCTGCGAAACCTCCATCTCCAAAACAACCAGAGCAGAAGGGACTGGAGGTGTGGCTCAAGTGGTAGAGCACCTGCTTTGCAAGTGTAAGGCTCTGATTTCAAATCCCAGTACCACCAAAAAATAAAAAAGAAAAGAAAAGAAAAAGGAAGGGAAGGGCTTCTGCATTTGACAGATGTGGAATCTGAGACATGAAAATGACTTGCTCAAGTTCACACATGAAGGTTCTAGAAGAATTGTGTCCAGAAGACCAGTCTCCTGAGTCCTCATTGGATACTAGGACAGAGTGGGAGAAGAGGTGTATGCAGAGGCTTCCGGGGGGCTGCTGGGTAGGAGACTCACTGGGCTATCTGGGCGATGTCATAGCCACTGTCAATGGTGACCTTCCCTGCAGACACTGCTGCACTGAGCAGGAGCTGCTCTGTTCCTGGCTGGGCTTCCTTTGCGAATTCGGCCTTCATTTCCTGGGTGAGAAACAGGCAGGTGAGTAGAAGGGACCCAAAAGGCACCAGGGAGACTTGTGGAGGGAGGCCAAAGTCTCTGTGTTCTCTGGGTAGTTTATGATCTTCCTCACTTGCTGTGACCCTCAATCTGCCTGGGGCTCAGTGAGGATGATAAGGTGGTCTATCAGTGGTTCCACCTTTGGGGACCCTGTCCTTTTACTAAAATATAGTTTGGACCAATCCCATTCCTAAGCCCCATGTACACCCATCAGCACTCCATGACTCCCTGTCCTGGAGCAGCCGTCAGAACAGTGCGGGGAGGCATCGGAAGGAGTTCACCTTCCAGTCTGTGCTTTGTTCTAGCTGGTACGTGAAGTCACAAGGTCAAAGGGATTTACTCTGGTAGTGTTTACAATTGCCCCTGGGAAGCTGGAGATACTTGGGCTGCTCCTGGATGGCATCCAGGGCCCCTACGTGCAGTGCCTGTTGGGTAGCAGGTGGCGTCATGTGGAACTGATTGAACAGTGGACAACGGACACTCCACTAAGTGGACAATGAGATTGGGCACCCTGCTCAGTCATGGCTTCTGCCTCTCAGGGAACTCTCCTCCTGACCCCATCTGCCACTGTGGTTCCAGGTGTCTTCCTTATTGTGTGTGATCTCCAGGACACAGAGACTGGGGCCCTGCAGTGAGGAGGCTGAAGGTCCTCTTTGCCTATTCTCAGAAGTAGGTCAGCTGAAGTTAGGTTCTAACCCACCCCACACTCTCAGGCCTATCCACCCTCCTGTCTGCCTCCCCCTAACCTGACCAGCACCTTGACCAGGGTGGTGAAATGCCTCTTGTCTCTCCATCCCGGGTAGAGCCAAGCCAGATCCAGCCCGTCAAAGCCATGGGTCCGAAGAAACGGTGCCACTGACCTGATGAAAGTCCTACGCCTCTGAGTGTTGGAGGCTATCCTGGAAAATCTAGGATGGAAATCACACCAGAATGTGCTCAGCACTGAGATGCCAGGTGCCCTGGTCCTGTGCTGGGGTTTCCACAGCCTGGGGAGCAGAGAGCCTGAGTCCACCAGCTTTAGGAGGGCCTGGCACCCTAAAAGGCAGCACCCATCTCCAGGCATTAGAACGGGCATGTGCCTTGGACTCAGACATTCCTGGTTTCCATGGCTAGCCAGTCACTTTGAATAGGATTATAACCTGACTCAGATTTCTCATCTGTAAATTGGGATAACCACAATATCTCATTATATTACACGGTGGGGAAGTGCATTGGATACTGTCAGCTTTCAGTAGGTGGAAGCTATTATGGCCATCTCACCTCCTTTCAAATCCCTGCTCCAACTCAGCCTACAACAGAGTCTCCAGACTCCATGTTTCCCACTGGTTTCTGTCCCATTACTTTCACCCCAATGGCAATAGCTCCAGAAATTCTTTGTTTTCAGGTCTGAGATGAGCATCGGCAGAGAAAAGGAGCTGCTGTGTGACTCTTGGGAAGTCCTTCTCTCTGTGTGTGCTCTGTTTTCTTGAATATAGAGAAGGCAGGCTCCTGACAACCACTTAGCCAGTCTAGAGCTACTATAACGCCCACATGCTGGTGGTGGTGGTTGGGGGTGGGGGAAAGCCATGCCTCCCCTCTCCTATTCCCTTACCCTGCCCCAGGAATGGGTCCTACCTTTGAGAGCCAAAGTTCCATCCTCCGACAGACAGGAGGGTCTTCAGTTTGGGATTCCTGTGGAGCAGAAAGGTGGGGAGGGCAGGGGTGGAATGAAGTTGTCATGCCACTGGGGATCCTAGTCTGGGAGGCCATGATAGAGTTCTAGCTTTGGCTAAGAGGCTGCATTCATCTCTGATGGCCTTCTACCCCAAGATTCAGTGTTCTAGGAGGTCATAAACCACACAGTAGATACCCTGGTTTCCCAATGGGGAAACCAGAAAATAGCAAAACACCAGGGAGAGACACCTTTAGGGGAAGGAGAGTCCCCTTTCTCAGGGGAGCTCAGTGGTGCCTCCTACAGTCTGCCTGTCATCAACAACCCCAAACACTCGTCACCTCCTCCCACTTAAGCCAAGGCCTTCTGTTGTCCATCCAGAGGAAGGTACCATGGACCCTCACCCATCCTCCTGGGCATTGCTGCCCAGTCTTGAAGCCAGCCCAGCTATCCCTCCATCCTCCTCCTGCCCTGGCCAGCCTGTGGCCCAACCTGTTTTTGAGTGAGTTCAATGTGTCATAGAGTGTCACATCATTCCATTCCCAGGTGTCAATCTCGTTGTTGCTTATGTTGGCAAAGCTGTAGATGATGTGGGTACAGAGGAAGCGGTTGATGGCATCAGGGAAGCAGCTCCCATCACCATCCCGGTACTGGGACCAGTTGGTGTAATAGCAGACCAGCTTGTATGCAGAGCCTGATGGAGAAATCTGAGGTGGGACCTGGGCCAGGACTCAGTGGCAATGGGTGTGATGGGGTGGGGGATGGGGCACAGATGTGAGCAAAACAAGAATTTTTAACTGAAAGGGGCTTGGCTCAGGTCTCCCTGCCTCTGGGAAGCTCCCTGTCTGATAAGAATAAGAACCATTCTGAAAATGCTTCGAAAAGATCAAAAGCCGTGGATAAACATTCTGGAGACTGAAAACAGTACTGTGTGTTGGCAGAAGCAATGAATAAAGTCCAAATGGGTCTAAGTGGAACTACAGAGGATTTCCTAGAAGCAATGACTTTGAGGGAGGACAGGGACACAGTCTGAAGGCTCAGCCCTGCAGTGGGGTATTTGATCCAAAAGGGGGCTAGCTGCTTCTTCTCTGTCTCCAGGCGGAAGTGCCCCTAGCTGGTAACCCACCTACGTATCACAAGGGATTGAAAGTTCTTCCGTTCCTCTCCTTCTAATACCTCCTGTTGCAAATGAAGTCCCATCTGGCCATTTGGTGATAAGGAATACAGTGTGTATCACTCATGGTGCTGATAGTTGTGCCCTTGTTAGCCTGAAGCTGAATGAACCTAAGCCTTTTAAAGTTTGTTATTTTGAAAAAAAAAATCAAATATACAGAGGAATGAATAACAGTGCCACAAACATCTGCATACTCATCACCTTGGTTTAACCAGTGCCAGTATTTCCGGCCATTTGAGTCACTGAGTTGGACAAAACTGGAAGAGTGTCTCCTTGTGCCAAGACCTTCTCCTCATCTGCCCTGGGCCCTCACCCAGCTTCAGGAGTCAGTATGTTGGGACAGGGGTGGGGGTGGGGTACTCACAGCACTGGAGCAGCACCAGGACCGCAAAGCCTGAAGGGAAATCAGGGTCAGACTCCTCCTGGCAGGAGCACACCCCCTCCCCCAACCAGGCCCAAGCAAGCAAGGCCTTCATACCAGCCTCCTCCCTCCTCTTCCCTCCCCCTCTCTCCCTCCTCTGGCTGCTCCCCACTGCTGCCTCTCCTCCACTCCTCCCCAGCCCACACTCCTGCAGGTGAGAGCCTGGAAGTAGCTCTGTGGGCTATCTGGGCCCTTCAGCCTGAAAACCCATGACTTCTACCCAATCCCAATCCAGTCAGCCTTGGCCAGCTAGAGACCTGCTGAAGCCACCCTCATTCTGGTTGCAGCAGAGTAGGGCATGAGTAGCCTCTTCCCAGAGCCCATGGGCTCCTAGCGTCCAGCTGCTTAGACAGGGCCTCTTTCCTGGGCCCCACACTTCCTTTTTATACCCATCCCACTCCACTCCCTGCACCCCCACACCATCCCCTTTACAGGAACTCAGCTGTGTGTCAATCCTAAAGCTGGCAAGTGGAGGTGGAGGAGTCCTGTGGGCCACTAGAGGAAGATTGAGAAACCCTGGAGTTTTGAAAACTTTGGGCCAACTCTTCATGAGCCACCTGCCAACAAAGAGCCACCCAGCCCCCAGGGTGATGATCTGGGGGCTCCCATACTGGGATATGGCTCAGCCACATTTCCAAAATCTTCCTCAGGGTCCTTCTCCCCTACCACTGTGTCTGGATAGCAGTTTTCCAGCTTTTCTGGCAGCTTCTACCTGTGTATCTCCAGCCCTCAGTCCAGGCCCTCAGCCAGGTTGAAGCTGTGCATAATAGTTACGTAAGCCACAGCACCTGAACAAGGCTGTTATTATATCGCCCTGCCTGGCTGGCCCTCCCCTCAAATGTCCTCTCTGTCTCCTGACTGTTCCCATAGCTGGCCCCAGTCTAGGTAAGGGCCAGAGAGCCTTGGGGGTGAATGGGGAGGGGTATGCCACAGTCTTTCCTTTTGGCAGTTTTTATGTGCTGATTACCGAATGGGAAAAGCCAGCTGGGAAAGAGGAAAATTCCTGAGAATGCTCTGAGCCCTGAGAATGCCCTCCCCTCCCCTTGAAACACCAGCCAGGAGAATGACAGCTTTGGGGCTGAGGTGGAAGGACATGTAATAAACACAGGACACTCATGATCCTCCCACGAGCAGAGGCACAGAGCATCTCAGAAAATCCATGATCTGCTCTCCTGTCTCATAGATGCCTTTGAAAGCCACACCCAATGAGGCAGCCTCTGTGTAAGTCCTCTGGGTCTCAGTGTAAAAACAAGTGTAGCTCAGCTGAAGAGCAAGTTCTAGTATGCCTGAGGCCCTGGTTTCCATCTTCTGCACCAAAACCAAATGAAAACAAATAACCCGAAAGTCTTAAGGAAACCCTGCATGGTCTGGACCCTTTTCTCATGGACTCTCTTCTTCCTCTTCTTCCTCCTTCCTCTCCTCACCCTCCTCCTTTCTCTCCTCACCCTCCTCCTTCCTCTCCTCCTCTTTCTTCTCTTCCTCTTTCTCCTTCTTTTAAAATTATTTTGCCCAAATATCTAGAACAACTCCATTCTTTGAATGCTATAAACTAATTATTTTCAGAATGGGTCAGAGGACTTTCCATCCAAGTCCCTTCAGTTTTACAATGGCCCGCTGCTCAGCCCTCCCTGGCATATTGTCATCTCTCTCTCTCCATTTGTCCTCCTGTACAACTCCCAACAGCCTCTCCCCTTCACTGTAAGATGAGCAGACAAGAAATGGCTTGTCCAGAGTCTGGTTCTGTGTGAACAGAATTTCACCACTTCTTCCTTTAAGGTGACTGGCTTCTTTTGTGCCCAAGATGGTTGACAGCAATGACAACCAATGAGAACTCTTCCCTGTCTGTTTGGGGCACTGTGAGGAGAACTTCCTTCCATCTCTGATAGCGATCTTACAGAGCAACATATGCAGGCAAAAGTTCTCACATCAGGGTGAAGGATATGAAGCAAACACTTCTTATTTTTATCTCTTCCCTTGTTAAAAATATCTCATATGTTTGGCCCACACCTTCTGGTTCTGTGAGCCCTTAAACTCAGTTTATTAATTGCACATAGTCTACATGAAAGTGGCATTGTCACAAAAATAGCCAACACCTCAGGGTCCCATGGGTCACCACCTCCCACCTCATCTCACACTACATCCCCTCACCCAATCTACTGCACTTAACTGTGTCTTCTTTCAGATCATTTACTTGTTCTACTCTCTCCCACTGCAGGGCATTTGAATATGCCATCCACTTGCCTGCCAATGACTAGGAAGGGCCCAAGATTTTATGCCTCTTGCAAGATAATGAGATGGGCAGCTGCAGGTCCCTGGATGCTGGCAGACTCTAAGTCAGAGACTAGGGACTTTCATCACTCATGGCACAGCAAGCAGCATGAACTTCAAGTTTGAGGCAGTTCCTTTGGACCCCAAATTGGAGGGTGGGGGTTGGGGTTGATGTTGGAGCAGCTCAGGGGATACTGTGTGTGCAATGGGTTACATCATAGTAGAGGAACCCCAAGTTTAAGAAACTCAAACCTTTTGCACTGAACAGTAAGCCTGCTCGGCCTTGACCCTGGAGGCGCTGTCATATTATAGTGGACAGCAAACTTGCCTTTTGCTCCAGAAGGAAATGCTGTTTCTGTCTCCCCAGGCTGATTGATATACAAACAACACTGAAAGGTAGCCTGGAGCAGACAGCCAACCTCTGCTTGGAACATGTGCACAATGCAAGCTGCCCCTGGGGATATAGCCCAGCCTGCCTTCTTGGACCAGTTTATCTTCACCATTCCACCTGCAGCTCAGTGGGTACCTCATCTTCAGGAAAGGCGCCTCTCCCAACTCCTCCTCCAAGGAGGGGCACCCTGCTGGGGCCATCAGAGTGCTCTGTGCCTCTATCCCTAATACCTGGCCCAGCAAGGCTCTGCTGTTCCTTGTCATATAGATGTTATTGATCAGCCCTGTCCTTCCTGGATTCCAAGGTGACTGAAAAATGAATGGCTCCAAGCAAAGACATACAAAATGGAGACAAGGATTTCAAGCTTTTCTCCAGGTTTTAGTTAATTCATAGACCCTCCTAAGGAGTCAGTGCTTTTCAGCAAAAGCAATTTGAGCACCTGTTACAGGTGGCAGAGGCAGAAAGGTGAGTGGAAAGAGTTGGTCCCTGTCTTTGTGAAGTCTGATGAAGATGGCCACCAAATAAATAATAACAAGGAATTCATCACAACTGTGACAATTTCAACATGGCAACACCAAGATGGGGGGACTGTCACAGGGAGTAGGTGGTCAAGGAAGCCTTCCTTAGGAATTGTTGTGAAAGCTCAGGAGGAAAGGAAGGGTAGGTGCGAGCTTGGCAAGAAGAAAAATGGTGTGTGTGGTAGAGAAATAACAAAACTTGGGAGGGAGGGGAGATAAAGAAGAATGATGGAGAGGTAAATTCAACTATTGTAAGATTGTTTATAAATATCTCAGTGTACCCCCATACAACAATAATATGATAATTAAGAAAACAAAAACTTGGGAGTGAAGAAGACCACAGAAGAACTTCAGGGAGGTTGAGGCACAGAGCTCGTGGGGGCAAGCATGAGATGAGTGAATGTACCCACTCCTCAGGAGGCAAGTTTCTGGGACCCCTAGCATGGCCTCTTAGGCATAGTTGTTTAGGTATCCCTTCTTAGTTGGCGTAGAAGAGGTGGTGTTAATACTCCACCAAAAACTCCAGAAGGACGGCTGGTAGAGTGGCTCAAGTGGTAGAGCGCCTACCTAGCAAGCATGAAGCCCTGAGTTCAAATCCCAGTACTGCCAAAAACAAAACAAAACAGTTTTGTTTTTTAACAAAACAGTTTTGTTTTGTTAGGCACCCCAGGTAAGTTTCTGCTGGTTGGAGACGTGTATATGAACATGGTGTAGATGCTATGGAAGACACAGGCAGAAACATTTGGGCAAGAAAACAATTACTTGTGAAAAGTGAAAAGGAATCAGAGTTCAGAAAGAAGGGCTCCTCAAAAGCATAACGGTAAATATTGAAAGGGAGAAATGATGACCCAGGCTGCCTGGATCGTGTGTTCCCTGTATCTCTCATAGTCCTAGCTCCTCTTCACTCAGAAACCAGGGCTAAAATTGGTTTTGCCAAGGACCACAACTTTGTGGGAGATAGTCAAGGCTTATTATTTGGGAGTCCAGACCTGTGAGGCTAGCCTCTTATTCGGGGGTTTCTCCGAATTCAGACTACCACCAACACCTACCCTCAGAGAAAAGTGTCGGATTTTGGCTCTCCAGTTTTTCCTTCCTGAGGGCAAGTTCTTGCCTTTGAGGCATGGATTGAAACCTATACAGTTGCTTAATCGTTTTCTGATTCTGCACCATTAAATTGATGCTTTCTTTTATTTGGCTAAAATTTATTTCCCTTGCCATATGAGAGCTGTCAATTACCCTGCACTTTCTTTTTGTATGGCTGACGAAACTAGGCCATATGACATTAAATCTCTACAGTGAACTTTTGTCTGGAGGCTTCTGTGTGCAAAGAAATTATGGGAAATCCTTATTGGCACTATTTTCTCTAAAAGCCCCATATTTGTTAATATTCCTGGCCTGCCAGGAAATGAAATTATTTGGAAACTGTAAGACTGGGAATTCATAACTCATAAAGCAAGAACAGCATTTTCTAGAAAACCTCATAGGTGTCATTTCTACATGAAATGATACTTCTTTCATTTCTTTTTCTTTTTCTTTCTTTCTTTCTTCCTTCCTTCCTTCCTTCCTTCCTTTCTCTCTCTCTCTCTCTTTCTTTCCCTCCCTCCCTCCCTTCTTTCCTTCCTTCCTTCCTTCTTTCCTTCCCTTCCCTCCCCTCTCTTTCTGTGCTGGGTCAGTTTTCCCTCTCCTTCCCTTCCCTGGGTCTCCTTTCCTACTGGGGTTTGAACTCAGTGCTTCCTGCTTGCAAAATGTAAATATGGTAAGCTTAGTTGTTTGGGAATTTTTTCCCTTGAAATACATGTGCTTTGTACGTGAAGAGATAGTTCTGTCTGAAAGCAACTTTCTTATACTCTTTGCAAGTGAACATTCTCTTCTCTTTTTGAAATGCACAGGTCTCTGGTCCTTTGATAATTTATTCCTTGTAAATTCCCCCAGTTATTGGCCATATATTATGTTACATGCATGTATTACACTGATAAAAAAAAAACATTTAAAGGAATTTTAAGTCAAGGATGGTGACATACGCCTGTAATTCCAGCACTTGGGAGGTGGACACAGGAGGATCTTGAGTTTGAAGCCAGACTGGGCTACATAGTGAGATCCTGTTTAAAAACCAAAAAATCAAGTGGTAGAACGCTGGCTTAGCAAACACAAAGCCCTGAATTGATCCTCCTCCCAAAGTACTGCGGTGGGGGGGGGGGAGAAAATAAGAAAGAAATTTACTCAGGAGGCAGAGATGAAAGGATCTCTATTTGACATCAGCCCAGACAAAGTTAGGAGACACGATCTCAAAAACAAGCCAGGTGTGGAGGACGTAGGAGGTGCACTGGCTAAGATTGGCTCTGGGCAACAGTGTGCGATCCTGTCTGAAAAGCAAACTTAAAAAAAGAAGGTGGGCTGTGGCTCAAGTGGTAAAGTGCTCGCCTAGCAAGTGTAAGGCCCTGACTTTAAACTCTAATAAGGCAAAAAAGAAAAAGAAAAAAAAAAGGAAAGAAAGAAAAGAAAAACAAAAAGGAAATTTTTGTTAAAATGTAAAAATATGCCTAAAACTTGGAGAATTAACAGAATACAGAAATAAACCAGATTACGCTGGTGGAGTGGCTCAAGTGTCTGAGAGCCTGCCCAGCAAGCATGAGGACCTGAGTTCAAACTCTAGTACCACCAAACCCCACACCCCCCCAACAAACAAACAAAAGATTATAAAAATAGATTATAGAAAAAATTATTAAAAAATAAGATTATAAACTCTTTTAAAATCTAACAAAATAAACTCCTGCTCCAAAAATGGCTTTTTTTCTCTGAAAGCAATATTATCATCGAAGGAGTTACATAAAGAATTCAAAAACTTCAAAAACATTTTTCTACTTTCATGCTTTAAATCTGTTGATTCAGAATTTTTTTCTTGTTAAAACTGTAACTCAGGGGAAAAGATAAACAAAAAAAGCTGCTGACCTTGGGTTTGGTTAAGGAGTTTGTTTACTACGTGACATAATAAGGGGGAACATGGCTATTAAACAGCTTACAAGTTTTATTACATAATATGCAATTATGTGAAAAGAACATTTTATGTAATATTTCTAGTCAAAATAATATTTCAGAAAAATTAAACTAATTTAATGATTTTGGTACAAAAGCAATTCTAGGCCTTATTTTCCTGATTTTAGCACATTGTAAAACAAATATGAGCACTCTGATCTAGTTTATAGAACTCTTGGGTTTCTTTCCTCATGAAAATCTCTATTATTATTATTATTATTATTATTATTATTATTATTATTGGCAGTACCAGGGTTTGAACTCAGCCCTCATGCTTGCTAGGCAGGTGGCTATCCAAAGCCCTAAAAGCACGATTATTTTGAATCGCCTAAATATCTCCTACTGTTTTTGCTGGTCGGATAATATAACAGTAATTTATTTAGATTATGAGATTTCAAGATGAAGTAGTCAGCTAAATGAAAAATTATAACCAATCTCTTTATTAAAATAGATTACTTTTCATAATGCTAAAAATCACACAGACTTACTGTGTCAACTGAAATTCCAATTTCCATATCCTTAGTTAACTTTAATATTAATTTGGATGACTTATCAATAGTGCTCGGATACTTGAGGACATAATTTTAAAATACCCTTTCTGTTATTTAATACAATTGGCATGGCCACCAGTAACAGGCTGCTTGGGGCTGGGGGTTGTGGATATGATTGTTGAAAATCTGAGTAATTTCGAGATTTCTTTTTTAACCTAGCGGGACAATCTCTCTTTTAATGTTCCTATCATTTATAATTATGGCAGGCTCCCTTTCTAGCCTCATAAAAAATTCTGAAGAGATATTAATTATGGGAAA